ATTTATGAAAAATGGCACAATCTGGTTAGAACTAGTTAAAATAACATTGTTGACTCCAAAACTTTACGGGTTTCAACCCGGACGTTTTAGTCTTTAAAGTCCTGAGTGTAACCTGTTTCGTGTTCACAGTGTTTTACTGATGAAATATGGGAGTTGATAATAGAACTTCTAAATGCAACCTTTGCCAACATTCCTGCCATATGCATTTACAGAGCCAAAACAATCAAAACATCAGCAAGGATAGAAGTGAAGGGTCACATGCCAGTCTGTTTACATTGTACATTTCTCATGAGAGAAAAACTGACTGAAAACAGTAAAAGAAAAAAAAATCTCCATTTTAAACCTAGACTCCAAAATGAATAATTTCATTCTATAATTGCATGATGATAGAAATAGCTGTTTTAATGGGTTTCAGTGGGGGCATTTTGGTCTTTAAGGTCCTGAGTGTACTTTTGTTGTGTACATGGTGTGTGTTATTGCATTTAGGAGCAGAGGTTTACATTTCAAAATTCTCCTAAAGTACATTTGCCAAAATTCATGCCCCATCCACTAACACAGCTGAAATGTTCAATAAATCAAAAACAAAAAGGACAGCAGTGTCCCAGTGGTCGCCGTTGCTACTACCAGCCTCCTGAACATCCCACGAGACGCTTACCTCTGAAGGTGACGCTGGCCAGAGGGTCAAAGTGCCTCAGGTTGTTGGCCCGCTGAAGAACGCAACGCAACATCACTGAAACCTCGGCAGCGTCCCGACGGCTAGAAGATGTGAGGCTACAAGAAGTCGCTCAGAAAGGGAGGAATCAAATCTGACAGGTGATGCAGTTCACCGCATGAGAGGAACTTTTGGTTACATGACCAACTCTGGCACTGACGACCAACAAACGATAAAACAAAGACCGATGGGTGGGAAAAGGGAAGCTCTTCTTCGCTTGAAAAAAGGGAAATCAATGATTTTTAATGGTATTTGGCTAAATGGAAGCTCAAGCATCTGAGCAAAAAGAAAAAAAAAAAGTTCAAAAACTGAATATCCACAGATTGTTTTCCTGCTTTGTCTCAGAGCATCTGTCTGGGCTGGAAACTACGATTCAGGAGCTTGGAAAAGCCGGTTTCTTTCTCTATCCGACCCTCTTTAACGCTCGTATGGAAGGACGGCGACCAGCGAGCATGTCAGGAACACACACCTCACATCCAGAGGAAATCTCAACATTTCCTGTGCTCCTTTCCTCTCTTGTCTCATGCTTGTTTCCCGATCTTGCCCAAATATTTGCCACCACATTATCTGCATATCCCGCTCCACCTCTGTCTGTCCTCAGACCGAGCCCTCCCTCATCTCGTTGGTGCTGATTTTAATCTAGTGTTTTCGGTAAACTGTCTCTTAAAGCTTCCAAAAGTTCCTTCACTCGTGACTCTGTTCTTGTGCTTTAACCAACGGTGACTTCAACATGTTGAGTCTGCAGGACCCACTGACGGGGTTTTGTTAAGACACGATCGCTGTTGGTCGGACTTATCAATGAGGTCTGGAGTCCCGTTCAGGAACAAGACAGCTGCAGACATCCTGAGGGTTTATCAACACTGAGAGGGACAACTGATCCACGAGGCTCGTTGTCCTTGGAGAGTTTCAGACGGCGTCACTGGCTGTCTGTTGGAATCAACCCTCATTTAACATTTTAAAAATTCACGCCACCCGACTCTAACAGCCAATAGGGAGGCTGGGATCAGGTCACAAACACATGAATACCAATGCATGCACAGTGACACAGCGCCACCTGCAGGCAAAAAGCAGTGAGCACGACCACGCTCACACTGTCGTGCCAGGAGGTAGTTCAACTGAACCGCTTCCTAACAGGACGTTCCTTACTAAGGTCAATGAACTCTAAGTAATGACTATAACCCACTAAACTCTGACCACTTTCTGTTTTTTTATTTGTTCCTGTCTCATTTTTCCTCACTGAGTTTCATTTTTCTCCTGCAGCTCTGTGGAACCAGAACATCCTCATGAAACAAAAACAAAGGTTCTAGAAATGACTTCAACATTACGCTATAAACTGGTGCTGTGGTAAGTGGGAAGCAATGTGTTACAGGAGCAGGATTTTGTTGACAACAGACCAACATAAATTTAATATTTTGGTTTTTCACGCAATAATTTACAGAAATAGTCCAGACGATCTAATGATCTGATGTTTGGCTCGACACCACTTTATGTTCTGCTTTAACAGCCTTTAAATGTAATGAGCTTCGATGGAGAGCATGACGCAGCAGTTCTGAAGAACCGACAGAGTTCAGCTTCCAAAAGCAGCAGATGAGTTAAAGGAGAATAAATATCAGATATCAGCCAGAGAGGCTGACATGAGCCTGGAACGTTTACCCAGAATGCATGTGAAACAGGAACCTTTAATCAATTAAAACTAATTTGGTTGCATGAAGTATGAAGGTAGAACTTTGCATGGCTTCATTCAACATACTGGAGTCAATGCAGATAAAGAATCAGCTGATTGTGAGGAGGTCAGGGGGGGAAGTTTTGGTTTATGAATATCAAGCAGCGTCACTGATTTAGTTTGTTCTGCTCCAGATTTTCACCCCACACAGTACAAGCATGCATCTGTATTAGCTGCTGTAACAATGGACTTTCCCCTGGCAGGGGCAGCAATAAAGGATCATCTTATCCTATCTTATCTGTGTTTGTGTGTTTGTATACTGCCAGCTCTAGTCGATAACACACAGGGAAACTGTTGTGCACACGGTGTCATGAGTTCATGACACACTTCAGCCAGATCGCGGCAAAAAGCGTTACCAGGACGTCCCCGGTGCTGCATAAATAACCCTGATTTAATCTGAATAACCACAATCTGGACAGCATGTTTGTTCCAGTCCGGAAAACAGAAGTGGAGATGTTTCACCAGATATAAATCAGTCATCTTTACCGAGTGCGTCTGGAAAATTTCACTCCATTTAATAATCGTTGTCGAGGTTTTCAGTCCAAGTGGCGAATCAGCAAACCAGCTGACAACACAGCCACACGCCGAACCAAATAAATGCTTTTAACCACTTTTCAGCACAAGTTAAAGCTATTTTAATTTTTACAGAGTAATTTACAAGTCAACCACTTTTTCAACTAGTAATGTTAGACTGTAAAATTGTGAATTTTTTACTGTATTCAAATCAGCAAACTCCTTATTTTACAGATGCCTCAGTTTTGTTCAAATACAGATAATTAACTCGTGTAATCACAGGTAAACAAAATAAGTTTTCATTCATTTGAAATAAAAGCCAAAAGCTGCCCACATTAAAAATCGATTTACTGTCGTTTTACTGTATTTTTATCAGAAGTCCACCATTTTACCAGACTGGTCTGGCTACGCTGCTGCCAGATTCTCCGTTTCTCTGCAGAGCTTTTGGGCCCGTGGGGAGCCGGTTGGGCCCCTGGGGATAAACTCTGCTGAATGGGTGCTGCTGCTGCCTGTGAACACAACCACGCTTCAGTGGAGACTCACTGCATCCTGTGTCTGAGCTCGTCACTGTCCTCCATCCTCACCTCCCCTCTCCCCCTCTGTCACCCTGTGCTTTCTCAGCCCCACCCCATCACCGACAACTGCCACAGACGCTCCAATAATAACCTCTCAGCTGTTGGACGGGTTCGCTTCACTTTATGCTTCGGCCCTGAACACCTCTCACCCCCGTACCTTCGTAGGTGACGCTGCAGTAGGCATCGCTCACGTCGTTGTCCGGCGTCTGGAGCCGCTCTGCACACAGAATAAACACCCGCAGCATGGCTCACACGCGTGTACAACGGAGCGCGCTCAGATCCCACCACTCTGGTCCACGTATGGGCGTCACAGTATCCAGCAAATATCCTCCAAGTGCACACAGATCCATAGGAGTGAGGAAGGAGGCCTGAGAGCGACTGGAGGAGCTCTCAGCTGTCTCGCTCGCCCCGCTCATTCTAACGCTGTCTCTCTCTCCCCGACACACACATAGCAGAGTGCACAAGCTGACTCATGCACACACACACACACACACACACACACTGCCCTTTCAATCACAACTGGCTTAAAGGGCTAGCAACACACACACACACACACACACACACACACACACACACAAAGTGCTCTTTATTTTCTGGCCATGTGTCTCCACACAAACTTAAACCAACACAAAAATGTGTCAGCTGATGCCGAGACAATAATACGGGACAAGACGATCATGAAGGCGGTTTTAAAGGGAACGACCTGGACATTTGTCATGGGAGTACGCTGTAAAAAATAAAAATAAAAAACTGCTCCAATCTGACAGCGAAGGTGCCAGAAAACACATGTTCAAACAGTGGACGACTGTAATTCACACACGCTGTAAATAACAATGAAAATAAATGCAAATATCTCTAAAATAATCATTTTAAGTGCCTCCAAATACAGTGAAATGGTGTAATTTTACCATCACACACTGTAAAACAACAAACACAGATCATTGTGCACAGTTCTGGCTAAACTCGTGTAAATTACGGTTTTCTGTGACTTCACCAGACATTATTTATTTGTTTCTTTCAATTTGTTTCTTGGCAAATATCTGTGAAATAATCGTATTCATAGCTGATTTTAATACAGTTAAAGTAATTTTACTGCCAAATGTTGGAAAAGAACAACAACAAATTATCTTCTTTTTTCCCTGCCTAACAATGCAGGTTTATTTCTACAGCACCTCTAAATGCAAAAGTGGAAATGTCCCAACACCAGTCTACTATTGGCATCAAACTGCCCCAACAGCCTACTGTTGGGGCAGTTTGATGAGCTGCTGTTAGTTTAGATTTAGTCTTTTATTAAGGACACTATTATGTGTTACAGTTCAGTGTACCTGTATCTGTCGCTGATGCTGTATCCATGGCAACCCTGAGACCACAGAGGCCTCCTGCATCACAAGTCTCTACTTACCCCCCTGAGTTCACAGCTCACCTCTTCAGGTCCGGACAGAGGCGGGTAGAAACTCTGCTAGCTTCACTGATGTAGCCACAAGGACCGGACTGGACACAAAATGGAGGACTGCGGTTCCCCAGTTGACTGAAAACGGCACACGCTGAACAGCAGACGTTGTTCTTATCCCATAAAGTAGCACAGAGATTGGAAAAGATAAAGAGAGTTTACTGAGTACAAACATATTTAAAAAGTCATCTGACTCTCCTAAAGGCTTCATACAACACTTTAAATTAAGTTTGCAGTTAGTACAGAGTTTTTAAATGTGCTAATATAAAGTTAGTGTTGCACAATAATGTAGCTACTCAAACATAACAAGCTAATGCTAACGTTAGCTTACCTGTGGGTCAGCCACTGATGCTAAACTTTTAGTAGCTGTCAAACCTCTTAGTAATTTACATATTTATGACACATACCGTTTTCTTGGCATTAGATTGGTTATTTGCGCCTCACATGGCTGTTAAAATCACCTTTAGCTACGCTTTTACATGACTGACTGAGAAGCTCTGTTAGCTTCACTGATGTAGCCAAAAGGACCTGACCGGACACAAAATGGAGGACGGCTGTTCTGCAGTTAACAAAAATGGCGCCCACTCAACAGCAGACTTGTGAACGATGAAGAAGGTTTACTGAGTACAATATATTTTAAAAGTTAGTTGACTCTCCTAAAAGCTTCATATAACATTTTAAATTAACTTTACAGTTAGTATAGATTTTTAAAATGTGCTAAAATAAAGTTAGTGTTGCACAATAATGTAGCTGCTACACGCTAATGCTAACGCTAGCTTACCTGTGGGTCAGCCACTGATGCTCAACTTTTAGCCGCAGTCTTAGCTCTTAGTTAATTACATTTTCATGAATAATACTGTTTCCCCGGTGTCAAATTGAGAATTTGAACCTCACACAGTGATTTAAATCACATGAAGCAGCGATTTTACCCGACTCACTGAGAAACTCTGCTAGCTTCACTGATGTAGCCACAAGGACCCGACTGGACACAAAATGGAGGACGGCTCGTCTGCAGTTGACCAAAAATGACTGTCAGAAAGGCTTCATAAAACATTTTAGATTAAGTCTGCAATTAGAACAGATTCATATATTTCTTTTATATTTTAATTTTATATTAATTCAATGTTTTTATGTATTAAAATAAAATGTGTTTATCAAAGTACCGACCTGG